ATAATCTCAGAGCAAGATAATCCACTGAGAAAAGAACAGGATGAGAGTTGTTAAAATTTAGGACAACATGGTTTTGATTCCTCCTAGCCAGCCAACTAGATATGCCCGTCTATGCCTTAAATGAGATGGAGAGCTAGGTACCAAGTGATGGGGTTTAGGTGCAGATGTATACCGCACCGACTTGGTGTTTTGATTTTATTTTGATTTTCTTAAGTTGGACTTAGAGATATTTCATTGGTTAGTTAGAATAGGTTATTGTTTCGAGAAATGCAAACTAAGCGTCCAATGAAATGATATCTAATCTTATTAACTGAAACATAAATAAATCTAGACCAAAGTAGTGAGTGATTAGAGCGGAGCATATAGACAACAGTCTCAGTCTAAAATATCCTAATCTTTTGCTCATTACCAAGGGCTGAAGCTAAACTTATTTAACATAGTAGCGTATTGTCTTATTAACGTATACGTCTTGGTATCGTATAGTCAGCCTAGAGGAGACCGACTGTTGGACTCTCACACGTGACTACTTATCTATGTTTTCTGGCTGATTCTTTGTTTTCGTCATTTGATCGTCTTGGGACCTTCCTTGTTGTCCCTGGGCTAATGATATACTTGATTGCGATGGTTCCTTCTTGGTTTTACTCGTATTAGTAGATTCTATCATTGTACTCGTTGTCCAAACGTCGTTAGTACAACGACCAGATAATCTAAATCGTTCAAGATGTCGAGCCATGTCTTATCTGTTGATTCAAAATCTCTTTTCTTCCACTTCATCGATCGTAGGTAGTTCTCCACGGCCATTCCCATGCTCCTCCGGTCTCAAGTCTTCTTCCACCTTACTGCTGCTGGTTGACATTAATGGCGGCATCGTATCGCTAGCATCACTACTCGAGAACCCAATATCTCCTTCTTCGTTAGGCAAATTTTGGAAGATCTCGTCATTTTGATACGACATTCTTTGTTCTTAATGTTTTTCAATTGCAAAAATGTGTGCTAGCTACCGAATAATTCTTATTCCATAGCTTTTCCTATAATTTCTAATAAAATAACAACTTCTATGGTAAGTTAAAAATGTAGAAATACGGCCTCCGGTCAGTCTAAAATATCAAGATCAATTGAGATAATACATT